TACGAATGGGGGTTTACGAACGGTTCAATGGGTGTACGCGTTAATGTTACCCACCATCTATTCCATTGCAAACGTGTTGGCGTTGTCTTGAAGATAATATTAGTATCTGGATGATTTGGTACTACTGGAAACACCTGACCAGGGGGTCCGCCAAAGGGGGCAGTAAAAAGGGGTTGTTTGATATCAAAATACATATCACGTGTTAGACCCAATCAGCCAGAATGTTATCTTAGCGGAGCCTTGCAATCGCGACCCCACCAATCGTACTTTAAACGATTCCCTAGTGACTCAAAAAGTTGACCGATTCAAAATAGACAGAATTGCTCGTGGCATACATATTTGAGTGTACTAGACTATTTTCAAAATGCTCGACGTTAACGACTTCATTACTGAGAGGGGTGGGAACCCACAAGCGATTAAGGACTCTCAACGCCGCAGATATGCACCTGAAGAGGCTGTCGATGAAGTAATTGCTTTGTACGAGGACCACCGCAAAAGTAAGCTAGCAAAGACAACCATAATTATACAAGCACTGATAGACTATTGCAGCCCAGTACGCAGCTACACAAGTCAACAGCAAGATCAACGAAACTCAAAAAGCAATCGGCGCAAAGAAGAAGGCCAAGGAAGATGCTACTGAATTATTGCAGCAAAAAGCAGATTTGGAGAAGGAGAAGAAGACCTGGCTTGACGCAGCAGCAGAGAAGGAAATAATTCTTAAGAAAAAGATTAGCACGATTGGCAACATTGTTCACGAGTCTGTGCCTGTGAACAATGACGAGGTAATTCCATATGGGAAGGCATACGGGTTTCTGCAGGTCCGGTGTGGCTAATGGGTACTAGGACCACAATGAGTTACTACGTACATGGGCTCCCGAAGGTGTTACCGTAGAGAAGAAGGACGTCCTTTCACATCATGAAGTTCTGACGAGACTGGATGGATATGACCCAGAACGTGGAGTTAAGGTTGTTGGACACAGAGGTTATTTCTTGAAGAAGTGGGGTGTCTTCTTGAACCAGGCTTTGATTAACTATGGCTTGGAGTTTTTGGATAGCAAGGGATATACACCATTACAGACTCCGCAATTTATGCTGAAGGAATACATGCGCGAAGACCGCACAATTAGAGCAATTCGATGAGGAACTTTACAAGGTTGTTGATGGAGATGCCCAGAATGATAAATACCTTATTGCTACTTCCGAACAACCAATTTCAGCCTTCCATGCTGACGAGTGGTTGACTGCTAAGGATGTGCCTATTAGGTATGTCAGGAAACTTTCGGTGAGAAAATCTTGTACTGACTTATGCTCAAAGATATGCTGGTTTTTCTTCGTGCTATAGACGAGAGGCTGGTTCTCATGGTAGAGATGCATGGGGAATTTTCAGAGTTCATCAATTCGAAAAGGTATGCATTTTTGGCTCTTCCAATCTAGAACGCTTTTTCTAACCATTCCAGATTGAACAATTTGTCCTCACCGACCCAGAAAAGTCATGGGAAGAATTTGACCGCATGATCAGCTTTTCGGAAGAGTTCTACCAATCCCTTGGTGTTCCATACAGAGTTGTCGCAATCGTCTCAGGTGCTCTTAACAACGCAGCTGCCAAGAAGTATGATCTTGAGGCGTGGTTCCCCTTCCAAGGAGAGTACAAGGAGCTTGTCTCTTGCTCAAATTGCACAGACTACCAATCCAGAGCTCTCGAGATCAGATATGGTACCAAGACGCAAACTGAGATCCGTAAGAAATACGTCCACGCACTTAACTCTACTCTGTGTGCAACTGAGCGTGCGTTGTGCTGCCTCTTGGAGAACTTCCAAACTGAAGAAGTAAGTAAAGAGAGGTACTTTATTTTTCGGTTCTGTTTGCTGACTATAAATAGGGTTTCAACGTCCCAGAGCCCCTACGTAAATATCTTCCTGGTGCCCCCGAATTTATTGCTTTCTCCAAAGAACTGCCCAAAGATACTACTTCCCAAAAAGCGAAGGGTAAGGTTGACAAAGCACCAAAACCGAAGGTCGCACCGGTCGGTGCTACACCAACTGAGGCAGCGGAGAAGTTGAAGGACATGAAGGTCTAAACGAGATTGCGTTTTGTGTGGAAGGTGGGAATAAAGACTTGCGTGCAAGAGTTCATGATCAATGAAGAGCTTGTTACTTTTCTAATCAACATAAAAGTTATACGACCTGATAGCGTTAGACGGAATTTGCGTGTTATGCATAGGAATCAGATGATAGATACAATATAAAATCAGAGACTTCCTTGATTTCTATATCAGATACAACCTGCTCTGCGAATCGAGATGATTAAATCAAAGTGCTCAATTTTTCTCGAAAGCCACGAGCAAGGGAATCATGAAATTTGGGAGAGCGGTTCACCTATATGGATTTCGTATATTTCACTGTTTTTAGTTTTAACCAAGAATGAAGTTAATTCCCGTTTCAACCGAGTGATGAGTGATGATTATTAGGGAGTCATCATGTCTAATAATGCGGACTGCATGCAGTCTATAGTACGGATGAGAAGTTTGGGATTTGTTGATTTATAGATTTATAGATTAGAATGAAAAACCTCGAAAGGTTACGATACTCTGTGCTCGTAAGTACTAAGTATTAAAATCTAGATTCGTTTTTTAAGCGATAAATGCGCTAACTACCCTCCGTAAGATATCAGCGACTGTCGTGCTGTAGCATCACGTCGTCAATGTGACGGGCTTATGTCTAGGCGGCTAGACAAGTGTTTGGTATACTGGAACTGGATACTAGGTGGATTTGAGATGTTGTAGGATGGGGTTTGATAGTGAGGAATGGGATGGAAGTGGAATGTTCTTTTAAGGGAGGTTTGCCTGGTACGTGTAAGAGGT